GAAAAGAAAATTTTAAAAAGCAGAGAAAAAGAATGATAAATAGTAATGACAGAAATTTATTGATCTATCACTTATCATAATAAATGTAAACAGAGTAACTCCTATTTACCAAAACTCAGGCTTCTAGACTGGGAAAAAAAAATCTAGCCATACTGTTTACAAAAGAATAAAACGATGATACTGAAAGATTAAAAACGATATGCCAGGCGGTGAAGCTGACATAACCATATCAATGTCAGAGAAAATATACTTTAATGCCCAAAGCATATATCAGGTTAGAGAAGGAAGGACACTAACTACATTCTGGTAAAAGGAACAGTTTATCTGGAAACTGTAACAATTCTGAGCTGTGGTACATCTCATTGTCAGAGTTACAAAAAAAAAAAACGCTGATAAACCAAGAATCGTAGCAGATTTCTCCCAGTTATTGATACTTAAAAGACAAAATATTCTAAAGAATATAGTATATTTGAACCACAAAGTAAGATCCTTCTAATAAAGACATGGCATATTTGAATAACAAAATAAAATTCATCTAATGGGCATACACAGAACCATGAACTTAGTGAAAATAGTTTTTCTGAGTACTCGTGGAACAGTTGGAAAAAAAATGACCAAGGCCTAGGCTCAAAAGCAGAACATCGATATCACTGTCAAAGCAAAACATTGCATGCTCCCCATTTAAAATTTTTTCATTTTCTCCTTCCACGTGTTAAGTTTTTAAGCTTCTCAGCCTGCTCATTTCTCCTGTCATTAACCAAAAGAATTCCATGTTGTCTTGGGAATGTTGGTTCTCCTACATTGCAGCTGCTGGCGAAAGGAGTATCAGACAGACACAGGGAGCAAAGCTCTCTCCTGCTTGTTCTGATAAGGTGTCCAGCCAAGGGTATCAACAACATCACAGTTCTAGGCATAGTTTTGTGGCAGCTCATAACTATCCACCTGTTTGGTTTTCTGTCATCATAAAACTGTTCTTGCAAATGTTATTTGTAACAAGATTCTTTCAAGATTCCTGAACTACAGATATTACGACTATGCTCTGTAGAATCAAAACACACAAAAAAACAAACAAAAAAACAAACAAAAAAAAAACCCGTAAATTTCTAAAGTGCCTGCTTTGTTAAATGATTTTCTTGTTTGATAACTGCTCTGGTAATAGTATTTAATAAACCTGTTTTCTAAAGGTATAAATGCTTGCTTAATTTATTTAGTAATCAGAAGAGCACTGAAAGCTACCTATCTCCCTTCATGGCATAATAAAGTCACGAGTGACAGCCCTCTTTTCTCAAAATAATGCGTGAGTGATTTTCACTTGTCAATCATGCAAAGATCTCTGGCCGCAATGTAATAAAATTAAAAATAAAAAGATAATTTTAAAAGCCTTTTTAAAAACTTTTAAAAAGCATTTACAAAACTTTAAAAACATTCAAGACACAGCTGGAGCTGCAGTTACATGAAGCTGGACCATTCAACTGCAAGTTCACACACCATCATTTCCACAGTGCTCTCTTTATTCAGAGTGACTCGCTAAGTCCAGTCCATACTCAAGGGGACAGATATTAAGCATTACCTCTTGAAAGGAGGAGTATCAAAGAATTTTGTGAACATAACTTTAAGTCTACCACAGTATTACTTTACATGGAAATTTATACTCTTAGATGCATGTATTAGAGAAAAAACAGTGAAACTAAACTGTCTAACTCAATGAGTTAAAAAAAATAGTAAGCCTAAAGAGGAAGTAAGAGCAACAATGAAATAGAAATGAGATAAAAAATGTTCAGTAACACTGAAAACTGTTCTTTGAAAAGACTACTAAAATAGCAAATCTTCAGCAAGATTCATCAAGAAAAAAGAAAAATTACAACTAATATTAGAAACAGAAAACAGGACAAGAATGAAGAATTGTGAAGAACTTTATGTCAGTAACTTTAAAAACAGAGTCACGATGGACAATTTTACATAAAATATAACTTACCAAAATTGATTCATGGTGACAGGGAAAAACTAACTAGATCTATAACCATTTATTAAATCAAATTAGAAATTACAATTTTAAGCCCTCCTTCCCCCCACCGATAAAAATAAATACTAGGTCCATTTGGTATTTATTTTTTATTTTATAGTCAAGTTTCATCAAACCTCCAAATAAAAAGTAACCCCCACAATAAGATATTACAGAAAACAGAGGGAATACTCCCAAATCACTTTATAAGCCTAATGTAAACTTAACACTAAAACTAGATGTAGAGAAATCTTTATGAATATAGATATAAAAATAAACAGAATTAAGAAAAAAAATTAAGTGATAGACTTTACTCCTGGAATGTAAATTTGGTTTAACATAAAAAAATTCATCAATGTCATTCATTAATAAAGGAGGGGAAAAAAACACAATCACTTCAACAGAAGTAGAAAAGCATTTGATATAATTCAATACCCATTCCTGATAAAAATGCTTAATAAACTAGGGATTAAGTTTTCTTACCTTATAAAGCATATACTACAAAATCATACATCAAACATCGAATTTAACTTATTTTACAATTCTAACTAAAAAACAGAAGCAGCACTTTAATATTCGGAACGAAACAGAGATGCTATCATTCTACTCAACCCAGCACTGGAGGTCCTAGGTCATTAAGGAGAAACAAGGAGTATACATACTGAGATGAAGGAAACACATCGATCACAATTTCTGTCATCATTTCATCATTCAATGTGCTTTTCTTCAAAAGTGCTCCTGACCCCTCTGGGGTGATTCTCCTCAAACCTTCTTCCCAGTCCATGAGCTCAGTTGGCACCAGCCCACCATCTCCATGAGCCAAGCACCGGCTCCAAAATATCTCTCCACTCCATTCTAACATTTTTATACCCATTATCTGCCTGACTTCTCCATTTAGATGTCCCATAGGCATACATTTTATTCTTAATACAAGCACAAGTCTTGACTTCTACATCCTCTGCTTTCAAACATACTCCGCAATCATCCTTCATTTTCATCATCTCCTTAATTGAACTGAAAATCCAGGAGTTATCAGTAATTTCTCTTCTTCCAACCATCCCTAATCCATTCAGTTTAATCAGCAAGTCCTAGTGACTCTACCCATTCCAAATGTGTTCCTCTCTCCATCCCTCCTATCACTCTACTCCAAACCACAGTCATCTCTCATGTGATTTATGACAAAAGCCTTCTCTATAAACCCCTGCTTCTTTTTACCCCCTGCAAACATTTCTCTAAACAAAGAGATCTTTTTTTAAAAAAAGTAACACTTCTCTTTGTCCACTGTACTTATTTTCTAATACACTGTATATTTTGTATTTTCTGTGCTTGTTTGCCTTTTCCTTCTAGAATGTAAGGTCCTTGAGGAAGGGACTAAAAAAAAAAAAAAAAACTGATTCATCTCAAAGTGCCATGAACAGTGCCCGGCAAAAAATAGGTGTTCAACATTTGCTTATTGAATTGAATCATTACTCCTTTGCTTATAATGTTTCAGTAGCTTCCCAGTGTACTTAGAAAAAAATCCAAACTCTTTGGCATGGTCCACAGGCCAACATGATTCTTCTCTGCTTATCTACCACTCTCCCTCCACTTCCATAACTGCACTATAGACACACTGCCTTTCTGTACACAGCTTCTCCCTGCCTTATGACTTTGCCATTCACTCTGGCTAATGTGATCTCACACCTTCCTTTTCATCCTTCAGAGTTCAGCTTTAATGCTATCTTCTCAGAGAAACCCTTTCTGACCAACCATTATAAACACTGGTCATTATCTATCGCAGTTCTATTTTAGTTCTTTGTATATGCAATTACTATTTTATTTTTTATTTTAATTCATTGCCTGTTACTCTTCACTGGGACATAAATGCCATGAGTGCAAAAACTTTACCTTATCATGACTTCAACCTAAACATCTGGCACATCAGAGATACTCAATAAATGAATTCAGGAGTTATACAAAGTCTGGAGATAACAGGTTTGAGAGAACAGAGAAAAGAATTCAATAGTTTCCAAGAACTGAGAGATTATGAATTTCTAGAATGACAGGGCCCAATGGACAAAAACCTTATACAAAGGCATTATCAAGAAATTTAAGAATAAGGACACAGATAAGACCCTGTAAGCTTCCAGAAAGAAAACACAGGTCACATACAAAGAATTGGGCATCAGGTGGCACAAGAATTCTCAACAGCAACAATGGGAGCTAGAAGACAGTGGAACAATGCCTTTGGATTTCTGAAGGAAAATTATTTCAACCATGAATCCTATACTCAGTGAACTATCAAGTAAGCATGAAGGTAGGAAATATTTAAGATTTCAAAAATTTCCAGACATTTAATAAGATTTAAAAAATTCATCTTCTACGTACCATTTCTTAGGAAGCTACTGGATGATGTTTCACCCAAATGAAGTAAATTAAGAAAAAAGAAAACATAGGATAAAGAAATAAAACCAATCCAAGATTCCTAATGTGATAGTGAAGGGAGATCCCTGTAGCTGTGCACAGGTGAGGGAGCAACTATTCGAGACTGGTCAGGAGACATCAGGAGAGACTGGCAGAGTGCTTGGAATGGGTAAGGAAGAAGGCTGTGAGGTAATCTGGCCAGAGCTCCTGTCAACCCATGAGCACTCGAGGCGGGGTGGTGCTGAAAACAGAAGCTGGGACTTGGGTTGGGCCTGTTGGCAGAGGATACTCTTTAATTCCTCTCCTGACATGAAGACCTGGTAGGCTTGTTGTGGATT